TATGAAACAATATATATGTGAGCAAATTTGAAATTCTTACTCCTATGCTAAATTCGGTTGAAGTGCGAAAATCAATTTGGACTAATATTAGCCATTTGGTGCACAAAAAAACCTAAAATCGGACGAAGATATATAGGGGAGCTATATCCAAATCTGTTCCGATCTTGATAAAATTTGAATCATGTATTGCTAGGCTGATTGTAATATCTGCTACCAAATATCGTTTTTATTGGGTGTATATTGCGAATGTGAGGGACTAAAACACCAAAATCGGATGAAGCATATATATGGCGAATCGATTTTCACCAATTTTTATGTATTAACTTATTGAAAGAATTCGCTTGGAAGTGCAACATTTTACTCAGTTTTGGATGAAATTAGTCATTTGGTGCACAAGAAACCTAAAATCGGATGAAGATATATATGGCAGCTATATCCGAAACTGAACCGATCTTGATAAAATTTGATCTATGAATTGCTAGGCTGTATCTGATATCTGGTGCTAAATATCTGTCTTGTGGAGTGCATATAATGAATGTAAGGGACTTAAACACCAAAATCGAATGAATATGTGAGTTATAGCTATATCTGAACCGATTTTCACAAAATTTGAAGCACATGCTTGTAGGCTGACATAATACCCTTACCAAAGTTATTCGATTACATAATGAAAGCGACATCATTCCCCTTAAGTTACTCTGAATTCGGCTAAATATAATCCCATGATCCTGCCAATATAAAAGATAGATATATGAGACCAAACACTTAAATTGAACATACTCCCACATATATGTGAGCCTAAAAGTATGCAACAAATTGCTGCATCAACATTATTTTATTGCTCGCATTTTTACAAGCTCTAATATAATTTCCGTCACCAAAATATATACCCGTCCCCAAAACGACTTACTGTTTGGTACGGATTTTTCTCCAGAGGCATAATTGGGTCAATTTTTTCGAAAATGAGCAATGAGAATTCAGGATGAAGGTCGCTAGTGGAGTGTGGGATACGCTAAACTTTTTTTTAATTGGAACTAAAATTACTAAAAACAATGCTATACATTCGGTACAATTTGATATTGGGTGATCAGATAGTGCTTGAAATCTGAAATTTGTTATAAGGGTCGCTGTGCATGTGAAGCCTGGACATATGGAGGTGGTTTCAGCAATGGGTACTATGATTGTACAGAATGTACTGAATGGTACTATATTTGGTATAGAGTGAGCGATAGAGCAAGAATCCCGTAATTTCACATTGAGGTCTCTGTTGGTATTTGGAATTGGGATATGGAGGTGTTTTCGGAAATATGGCATATGATAACTGTACGAAAAGTACTAAATAGTACTAAATTTTGTATTGGGTGATGGACTAGAGCGGAAATTTGGTACATGTATCACTGTTGGTGACTATGGTTGAGAAAAGTGCCAAACGTGACGTCGATTATAAGGGGAGAGATGAAGTCCCGAACTTTGGTATCGGCGTCACTATTGTTGTCTAGGGAGAAGGAGGAGGATATGCGTACCATGATTGTTCGAAAAGTACTAAATGGTACTACATTTGCCGTTGAGTGAATGGAATGGCTTGAATCCTAAAATTTGAAATTGAGAACACCGTTGGGATCTATTTAGATATGAATACAGGTTGAGGTAGAATTAGTTAAGATTTGTTCGAATTGGTCACCATTTGGCACGAATTATTGCCTTCAAATGGCCAATGAAACCGTCACACGCTGTCCGAATGTTGCTCTGCGGTATTTCGACCCATTCCCGGCGAAGCACTTGCTTAAGATGATCGACACTTTGGTATTTTTTAGTGCCAACCTTGCTTTCCAAAATACTCCAGACACAATAATCCAACGGATTGGTATCTGGAGATTTTGGGGGCCATTGTGCACTGGAAATGAAGCGAGAAACCTCATTTTGTAACATTCATGGGTGGCGCGTGCTGAGTGCGATGATGCTGAGTCCTGTTGGAATGTCCAAGGTCTGCGGCCAAAATGTTAAATGGCCAAGGCTGTAATACACCCTCGAGAATATTTTCCCGATAATATTCGGCATTTATTCGGATGCCACGTAGATTAATACCATGGCCGGCGCTTGAGTTCTGGTGACCAACCGAAGGTGCACATTTTCAGCTGACTTCTTTGGCAAGAAAAACGATCATTTTGTCTGTTTACAAACGAATGTTTTATCATCGGAGAAGATCAAATTTGGCAGTTCACCACTTTCGGCCAAGCGAGGCAACTCTTTAGCTCTTTTGAATCTATTTTCTTTCTGTTGCGTTGTAAGTTGGCTTTACCCCGAGCTCATTTTTCAATATTTGCCGAATGGAATATTGCGATATGTTCAGCTCACGAGCCATTTTTCGGCCATTGCGACGTGGGTTTCGCTTAAGGCGCTTCTTTACTTTTCGAACCATTTCTGCTGATGTTGATGTTTTCTTCCGTCCACTCCCTCGACGTCGGGCTACGCTATCAGTATCGGCTACGGTAACGAGCGATGGTACGAGACACAAAAGATTTATTCACATTTAAATGCTGGAGTGCTCTAACGACAGCCACTTGCGGGTTTCCAGCCAAATATAAAGAAATCACACTATCACGCTTGAATTCCATAACGAATAACTTTTTTTCTGGAAAATTCTCACCAGAATGCCTGTGTACGCTTGTAAACAATATAATGAGCTGTCACTGGAATAATTTTAACATTTGTCGGACGAGTGGCTTAGAAATAACAGCAGTCTGAAATTGGTTGCAACTTTTTTCATCTCACTCTGTTTATATTTTGTAGGGTCTATCTTGAGTTCAACCTTCTAACCCAAATTGAAGAGACCAAATTTTTCCATTTGGTTAAACCCGGTTACTAATATAATTCTTATCGAAATTATATCATGCACTATACGGCAGTTTTATTTGGTACTAGAGGTACAAAAGCCTCCGTCAATTTTTTTGAAAATCGATTCCGAGTTGGATGTAATTCCTAAATTGTGAGTACTCTAAAGACATGATACGCCTAAAAATAAGGTTCAGAGTTGATATGATCTACTTCACGTAAACTCCCAATATAATTTTTTTTGTTACAGGGGCTCAAATAAATACACATAGTGGTCTGGGGTATCATATAGTCGGCACCGTCCGACTTTTGACCTTTCCTTTCCTGGTTTATATTGAAAATTGATATTTTTCTAGAACTGTCTATAAATATTTTTATCTATTTGAATATGTTTTAAAACACTCTTCCAAAATTTCCACTAAAACTAATCCTAACTTTGGCCCTCACCATTGGAAAATATGAACATATGTAGGTACCTATATATGTATTTATTGTATATTCCATTGTGCATTATAAATAACTATAAAATAAATAAACAAAAAATTCCAACAATTCATCATTCTTTAACATTGAATAGAAAAGCACACACACAAACACTCAACTATAGAGATAAAATATAAATTGAAGAAAATAAATATCTATTTAAAAAATAAAAAAAAATGGACTGCACAAAAAATGAAAGAGAGAAACATATAAAAGCTGTTCAAAGTTCAATTGTTGGAAAACAGCAGCATGGTCGTCGTAAACTGAGAAGAGAAAGACGTCGTAGAAAGTTAAATAAAAGAAAGAAAATAAAAACTACGACAACAACAATAAAATCCACTCGAAAAGAAGGCAAACAAAGGAAAATTGTACACAAGCGTTTCCGATTGGTTGGGTGTCACCACCGGCCCATCGGACCACTACCAAGAAAGCAGCGAACGTTTCGAGAGAACATCACAAATAAAGAAAGTATAAAATAAATAACAGAATACATACATATGTAGATATTTTCGTAGTTATTTACTTGAAATAAATAAAGAAAATCAATATGAAAACATTCCAAATAAATAATTATCAATATTATGGATTTTCAAACGCGGAGTATCTAGACTTTGTTGAAAATAATTGGGAGTGCGATAATTCCTATATCGTTTAATTATTTAGTGAGATTGACCGATTCATCAACTCCAATGCGAATCACTTAGAGATAGAATCTTGAAATTTTGCTTGTGGGTCAATGTAGGTGTGTAGAGCTGAGGCTAAGGCTAAAGTTTTTTGGAAATTCGTACTACACCTATTTCAGATATAGTTCGAAACATTTTGTTTGAAATTCGAGAATTCCTTTTGAAAACCATGACATTTCAATTGTAAATCGAGATTTCCATTTCTTATTCGTAACATTTCACTTGTATTTCGGGGGTGGCATTTGTCATTCGTAAAATTAATTTCGAATTATTTACATTGTAATCCGTTTTTAAACCCTCCACCATAGTATGGAGGGTATATTAAGTTTGTCATTCCGTTTGTAACACCTCGAAATATACATCAGCATAAAATTCCATGTTGATTTAACTATGACCGTCCATCTGTCCGTCCGTCTGTGGAAATCACTCTAGCTTCCGAACGAATTGAAATAGGTTGATAAAATGTTACTCAGATATGTGTTTGGTCTATAGGACTTTTGGTATTGAGAATGACCTATATATGACCACTTCTTCGTAAAACCACCACATAACGGGACCTCCCTATATTCGGTATTTTGAGGAATTTTGCTATATTATACCCCGGAATTGTTTCAAATCTTGGGTTTGAAGTTCGTTCTACAGCCTGTGACATAAAATTGCCTATGCATGCCCACACAGAGAAAAAAATTAACCTTATACAAGGTTAGCTTAACCATAAATAAACATGATTTGGAGTCTACGTTATGTAAGGTTAATTTAAACATTTTCTTGTTGACTGGTATTTAAAAATAATCATCGTTAATTTAGCTATTCCATGTTTGACTTTTTTAACCACGAAAATTGTTGATATTGAAAAAAATTGTTGTTTTAACAATGCACTGTTAAATTTTTGTAACCATGAGAATTGTTAATAATAACATTTCATAGTCAGTTTATCTAAACAGTTCATATGATAATTTTTAATAATAAATTAACCTTTGTTTGAATAAAACAAGAAAAATGTAATTTTTACAAGTTTATTTATTATTTATTTATTAATACCGCATATTTCTAAAATATGTATTTCCATTACAAATTGTATGTATATTTAAGGGAGGGCTGGTAAAGAAAGATATATGTTTAATATAAATTTTATTTTTTAACGCCTTACCGAGTGATTTTAAATTATATTCCTCAGCCATTGTGAAAAAAACTACAAAACGCCAAACACCGACTGCAAAAACAGAAGAAGAAACTAGTAGTTAATAAAAGCAAATAGTATTGTCACAACTTACCAACAACAACAACGTACATTTGGTGACAAATGCATACGCTAATGTACGTCGTAGCAGCCACAAGACAAAAAGAACACATATGTATGAATAAACACTCACACATTATTTCTCTCCTCATTTTTGCTTGCCGCTGCATATACGTTGTTGTTGCTTGTTTTTTAATGTATTACCGTTATTTTTGTTTCTTTATTGTAATTTATAGTTTATTTGATAGACAAATCCGATACAATTTGAATATAGCAATAACACATTACTATGTTGAAATAGTATCAGGGTTTTCTATTAAAACAAATACAAATTACAATCAAATATATTTGTTAATTTCACCAGCTTTTACTTACCTTTATACCAAGCACTATTCCCACGAGCACGTGCACTACTCCCTTGCACTATTCAACACCAACTTAAGAAGTGATTGTCTATTTGATCTTTCTTACACATATTCAGACCACAGAAAGAGATTCGATAAAGAGGAGGAGGGGGAATATGACAGTCACATTCGTTGCAACTTCGTATATTGTAATATTGAACTTCGTCAAACACAAAGCAGTTCAAAATTGTTGACCACAACAGAGCCGAAGGCTCTTTAAATTTTTATGTATCTCTCACATTTTTCCGTCTCTCTCAAAAAACAACAACCTTATACAACGTTAATTAAACTATTTTTCATCTACATTTGACCTTATATAACGTTAATTTGTGTTTGTAATCTCAAACATTTACCATGAAAAAATTAACCATGCACATGGTTAAAAAAGTCATTGTATTTTCGGCTCTGTGCAGGTCTTCGTATTGCCTTCATATAACTCTACTTCCCTGTATACGGTATTTTTATAATTTTAACAGCATTTTTCAATATGTTTTTATACCTTCTACCATAGTATGGAGGGTACATTAAGTTTGTCATTCCGTTTGTAACACCTCGAAACATACATTATAGACCCCACAGCATAAAATTCTTGATCAGCATAAAATTCTATGTCGATTTCACGATGACCGTCCCTCTATCATTTTGTCCGTCTGTTTTAACCACTCTAGCTTCCGAACGAAATTAAGTAGGTTGATAAAATTTTATTCAGATGTATATTATGTCTACAATACTTTTGGTATTGGAAATGACCGATATAGGTCCACGCCTTCGTATAGCCCCAATAAACCTGTATCTCCCTACATTTTGAATTTTGATGATTTTAGCGACATTATTTACCGGAATTGTTTCAAATTTCGTATTTCCAGTTCGTAACCGATACTACAGCCTCTGACAGAAAATTGCCTATGCAGGTTCAGGTCTTCGTATAGCCGAAATATACATTTTAGACCCCACAATAAAATTCGGATCAGCATAAATTTTTATGATCAGCATTAAATTCTATGTCGATTTAGCGATGTCCGTCCGTCTTTCCATCTGTGCAAATCACTCTAGCTTCCGAACGAAATGAAGTAGGTTGATAAAATTTTACTCAAATGTATATTATGTCTTAAGGACTTTTGGTATTGAAAATTCGCCATGTAAGTCCACGTTTTGGTATAGCCCCCATATAACGATACCTCCCTATTTTCGGTATTTTGATGATTTTAGCGTCATTGTACACCGGAATTGTCTCAAATTTGGTATTTGAAGTTCGTAATGGACACTACAGCCTCAGACAGAAAATGAGCCATGTAGGTCCACGCCTTCGTATTGCCCCCATACAACGGTACCTCCCTATTTTCAGTATTTTGATGATTTAAGCGACATTCTTCGCCGGAAATGTTTCAAATTTGGTATTTGAAATTCGTAATGGATACTACAGCATAAAACAGAAAATTGTCTGTGTAGGTCCACGTCTTCGTATATCCCCCATATAACAGTACCTCCCGATATTCGGTATTTTGATGATTTTAGCGACATTATTCGCCGGAATTGTTAAAAATTCGTATTTGCACTTTGTAATGGGTACTACAGACTGTGACAGAAAATTGTCTATGCAGGTCCACGTCTTCGTAAGCGACATTCTTCGCGAATTTGAAACAATCAAATTTCGTATTTGAAGTTCATAATGGATACTACTGTCTGTGACAGAAAATTGGCTATGCAGGACAACGTCTTCGTATAGCCCCCATATAACGGTACCTCCCGATATTCGGTATTTTGATGATTTTAGCGACAGTATTCACCGGAATTGTTAAAACTTCGTATTTGTACTTCGTAATGGGTACTACAGACTGTGACAGGTGCACGCCTTCGTATAGACCCCAAAATAACGTTAACTTCGTATATACGGTATTTTGAAGATTTGAACAGAATCTTTTATTTATTTATTTTAATTTTTTTTTTTGAAGATTTGCAAATTCTTTCCAAATTGTGTAAGGTATTAAAAGTTCGACTTGGCCGAGCTAACTGGTTTTTTTAATTGTTTATTTTTTGATTCGAATTATTTCATTTAAAATTCATATTTTTCCATTTCGAATTATTCCATTGAAATTCGAAACCAAGAAAATCACAAACACTTTTTTGAATTACAAATAAAATGATTAGAATTACAAGTGAAATAATTCCACTTTCGATTGTAATAATTCGAATAAAAAATAGAAAAATTAATAAAATTCTCAAACTACAATTGAAATGTTTCAAATTACAAATAAAATTCTAGAATTACGAAAAAACTTTGAATTACCACTTAAAAAGGTACTAAAAGGTACCAATTTAGTTTTTAGGTGAATGGAAGAAGGTGAAATGTTAAAATTTGGATTAACAAGTTAAAAGTTAAAAGTCGGTTTTGGCGACCGATGAATACCCCCAGGCAATGTTCGTTTTTTTTAAATATATAATTTGACTTCTGTTATGATTATTGAAATGTTTGGTTAAGCTCAAAAAGTACGCTCTAGAGAGAATATATCCACAACCTATATAACGAAATTAACAAGCAAGTGGGTCGCCAAGTCTTAATCTAGACTTTCATGATAACCTTGAATTTTTGAAATTAATAATTCCCTTGCAATGACTTAATGGATAAATACTTTATTCATTGCCCCTCTGTGCCTCCATATGTGTGTGTAATAATTTCCTAACACAAAAGTTCACAAAAAGAAAACAACACCAACAAACAATTTGAAATTAAGAAATAAATTAAATTCCATTATTAAAGAAAAGTGCCATACAATGACACAAAACATACAGAAAAACTGCGAACAAAACAAAAAACTCAATATTAATGTTGACATTCGCGAAAATGTAGAAAAAACGATGACAAAGACAACGAACGCCATGGGAAATTGCATAATGGTGTCGAGGGTAGGTAGGTAGGTAGGTAGGAGAGTCGCATGGAAGAGACACAGCGAGGCAAACAAACAAAACGAATGAACGAACCGACAAAAAAAATAAAAGGAAAATGAATTACAACAGCAACCTTTGGAGAAAAATGACAAATTAATCATTTAATTAAAATGTTAAGAACATAAAGAGAACCTCCGCCGTCGAAACGCAACTAACGTTGGTACCTCCCCCCTTACGGTAAACTCACACCATCGGCAACTGGCCAACGAATAACAAACCAAACAAACGTCAGACACCGCATTGAGTGACAGAAAAAGCCAGACTTATTTCCCTCGAATGGAGAGTGAAAGAGAACGAACTACAATTCCACAAAAGAAAGAAATATTTTATTTTTATTTTCATTTCAAATCAAAATAAAAAGAAATTCAAACATACATACCTACCAACACACAATGGATGATGCTTATGTACGTACATACAAAAATACAGAGACGAACACACAATGAGAAATGGAGAAACGAAAAATTTTCGCATAAAACACAACAATTGTCATTCGAATGTTGTTGCATTGGTGTGAGTATGAGAAGAATTCAAAGGAAACGCGACACTTTTGTCAGGAGTAACAACGGCAGAATTAAACTCCCTCCCACTTTCATTCAAATTTGCAAATGCTCTTCCACAGAGAGAGAGAGCGCACTATGTGTGCCCGCGAGAGAGAACATTTCATTTGATATCTCCATTTGTTTTTTCTTTGCTTATTTTTCTTCATTTCATTTCGAATACAAAATACAATTAAACCTATCCAACTCAGAGGCAATTGTACTCCACAACCGAAAGAGAAACAGCAGCAGCAACAACAAAACACATTCGCATTGAATGAATGTTTGTTTGTATTTTAAATGTGACTGTATATGCTTGCCCACTGACATGATGCTGCCGAGGAGAATAACTGAGACGACATCGTTGACGTCGACAGCGTAACAACTGCTTCGTATGGTTGTTGGTATGCGTGTGTGTGTGCGATGAGTACCAGTCAACTGTTATTGGTGAACACCAACCCACCTGCAATGGCCGTAAAGAGCAATTGTAACAACAAAGACACCAAATACGATTGCTGTACGAATGAGATGGAATGATATTCGATTGTGTGAGAGATATAGAATATGTGATTGCTTCAGTTGTTGTTGTTGGTATGCCATTGCTCCTGTCGCTGGTGTTTGATGAATGTTTTATTTGTTTTTCATTTGTAATTCGACCACGACTGGAACGAAATGGAATGAAATTTGGAATTGAAATATTTAAGGGCAGAAGTTGTAAGAAAATTTGAAACAAGAAATTTTATCTGTGAGAATGTGAATTTTACGGCTTTGTAGTGAAACACATTTTAAATAAATACCAAAGCATTTTGAATTTTTCGCTAGGGCAATGAGGAGTGGAAAATTGAATTTTATGCCACGGACAGGTGCAAAAAAAATGTGTGTTAAATGTTTGTCTCGAGTTTTATAGACATTTTTATTATAAATTTAAAATTTATTGAAGTTTTTCATTTTGGCCTTGAAAAAATATCTTGATCGTGGATTTTATTTTTGCTACATGCCTACATTTACTACTTGTAAATTTAAAAATGGTTCCTATTAATGACTAAAGCGGGTTTTGATATTGTTGAATTAAAAAATTAAGTGTGTAGGAAAATATTACAATTTTTGAGGAAAAATAGATACTATATTTTAAGAAAAAATTTGAGGGAATAGCAATATTATCAGATAATATCTTGGACATTAAAAATGCCCCAGGAGATTTTGATAATATTAACATTAGTTTCACAAATAATATCGTTGATAACAAATATCTGCAGACTACTAGCGAACTTTAAGAATTATATTTTTAATAGATGAAAACCTATTTGAATTGGATCGATCGTTGATTTTTAAACAATTGTTTTGCTACATTCGTACATACAGCTACTAAATGTGATGTTGGAAAACAATATTGGACGACTGTGGCAGTTAAATTGATTAATTAAAATACTAGCTAATATAAAATCAAAATACCAACATTTGGAAAGATAAGATGGAAATATGAACAAAATTGGCCAATATGGCCCATTCATCCAAAGCTCTACATTTATGTTCTATGGTACGAAATAGGTATATCTCAAATATCTGCAAACCGAGTCCTACAAATCCACTTGGAATTTTCAACAATACAGCTTTGCTATTGGATAGAACATTTGCAGCACATTCGTCCTCAAAGTCTCACAAATTTTCGTTTCATATAAACCAAAATTGTTGATATTACTTAAAAATGCGATTTTAATATTTCTGAATTTCTGGCACTTAAGTAAGATTTAAATTTTTGTTTTTATGAAAGGACCTATAATAGAGTATAAGGGCAAATAATTTTGTAGAATATTTTGACTTAAACAATATTTTGAAAAAGTACCAAAAATATATTTTTTGTTACTCGCTTGAGGGTTAATAGTGTCGGGGGTATTATAAGTTTGATTGGGCCAAAAAATGATGCAAAATCTATCTCGCCGAGCTGAGCTATGTAAGTCTGTCAGTCTGTCTGTCAATGTTAATTTGTAATCACACAACAGGTCGCCATTATGGTCCGATCCCCATGAAAACTTGCAGGAAGTTAGGGTTAGGGTCAGAATAGAAGCCTATAGTTCTTGAAGATGTTCGCAAAATACTTATGGGTTGAGATGGACAAAAAACAGAAAGGTTTCCAGATTTTGCACTTGTTCTACAGGTCACAATTATAGACCAATCTGATTTCGTCGGAATTGTAAAATTTTACACCGAGACATTTTCGTCGGAATTGCAAACTTTTACACAGAGAATAGGTTTAAAACATAGCAGAACTTATCAATTTGGATAATGTTAATGGTAAACTCGGCTGTAAGTTTTGTGTAAAAATACCAAATTTTCCATTAAAACTCGAATATTTTTGACCCCTACAAAATCACAAATACACTTTGAGGTTACCTCTGACCGAAACTATTGATGATAACAACCAAGATATACGGTATTTAGCAAGATATGTGCAATCTGTATATTTAATTGAAATTTATGTTAGTTTCTGCACCAATAACTAGAGAACGGCTTTTGAAAATTCTCACAAATTTAGAATAATCTCCTTGCTGAAAAGAATAAATTATAAGACAGGACAGAAAGCGTAGCCTGAATGGCCTATGAGCATGACAGAGGGCGTAAAAAACAAAGGTTAAATTTATTGCAGGACTGCATGACATTATTTAAAAAACGAGATCGACGAAATTTATTTTTGACATGAGGTGGCTTTTCAATATATTTTTTTCTGTTGTAGGGTATCACATAGAACAAAAAAACAAATTGGAAGATGTAGCCGTGTAATTAGAAAATATCAATTTTTTATAGTCATTCCTCGGAAATTATAGTCGATGAAAGAATTAATTCTCGGTTGGTATGCATGATTATTACCTTGTAAAATAAATCATTGTGGCGAGGCGAACTTTTTTAGTTTTCCTTTGGTATTATATTTTACTCAAATTCCGATATGAGTTGAAAATATAAAAAACATGGGAGTTTCATCTCCCATGGGTCCTTGGATATATGCTGTTGGTTTTTGTATTCGCAAAAAGACACACGGAACGGCTGATGGTTTTTGATAAAGTCAAATTTTATTCATTTATCATGAAAATCATTACCTATATCTTTGATAAAACTGACTTATGCTGATCGCAATTATATATATTTTATGGAGTCTCTGATACCGATAAAAATCGGTATGGCTACAAAAGGTCCATGGTGGTGCCGTCATTCCCATTTTTTTTCTTTTAATTTGTACACCCTCTACCATACATATTATGTAACTCCTAGAAATAGGCATTGCAGACCCCACAAAGTATATATGAATGTATTCTTGATCATAATAAGATTCAATGTCGATTTAGACATGTCCGTCCGTCGAATTAAGGTTTTTTGGGTATTTTAGTCACATTTTTAACTGAACTTTCTGTAAATACGCATGTTTATATCCGAATATTAAGTATTGTGATATTTTTCATGGGAATTGTTTCAAATTTGGTATTTGGAGTTCCTAATGGAGTTTTTCATGCTGACCCACCTCTTCGTATAGCCCTCATATAACGGTACCTCGCTATATTCCGTGTTTTGATAATTTTAGCGACATTATTCACCGACATTGTTTTAAATTTTGTAATATAAGTTCATAATGGGCACTACAGTCGGTGACTGAAAATTGTCCATGCTGATCCATGTTTTCGTAAAGAACTAACTGCTTTTTTACCTGTTATTTTATATATTTTACACATTATGGGTATGAAAAACTATTTGGCAAAAATATTTGTGGTTTTAAAATTAACCAATTATTTAAATTTCCATTTTTAAGATTTGAATCTGATATAGAGTTGTTTTTAAAACCGATTTTTTTTGGGTAGACAGCCCAAATATATTCCATTCTAAGTGATGTGAATTAAGAAGTTATTCAATGTAATTGCCAGCTTTTAAATTTCTTCAATGTCTCGAAATATCTAAAAATTATTATTCAAATACCAAGAAAATCCATTAAATGCCGCCGCTCTTGCATGTCCGTGGCCTCAAGCTCATTGAACAGCACAAAACAAAATGTTTTTAAGTTGTATCACAGGATATTCTCATTCCATACGTTTCTCTTCCAAGTCGATGGTATTCGTTTCATTTTTCGTTTCGTTACACACAAGGTAAACCTGTTTCCATAAGGACAAATGTAAGGGCAAACCTATTAAAATATTAAATTAAATTGAATTATAACGGAAAGGAAATTAGACAGGTTGTTTCTAAATTTCATAAAAATATTCATATTCAAAAAATATTATTTAAAATATTGAAAAAATATTTAACTAAAAATGAATTTATATATTTATATTAATGTATTTAGGTTTCTTAAAATAACATTAAAATCTCTTAGATATTTTTTCATATCTAATATTTATATTAAGGTCTTATTTTATTTTCTCCATTCCCTTAGCAATTAAGGACATCTTGAAATTGTCATTTTATTTGAAAAGTGGGAGTATTCTTTGGGATAATATACTCGTGCTAGATACAATCCAAAAGTTTCAACTTAAATGTTCATTGACAAATCATATTAATTTGTTTGTGGCAAATGTTATTTATTTGCTGGCTGGCAATATAAGCTCTCGCTCACACTCGTCCTCCAAGTATATAGCCATCTACCCACCCAACATATCCCATCTAGAGGCTAGTATTTACATAGCAGCATACAATTGTATGTATTGAGACAAACGAACAAATAAATACTTACTCACATTTCGTTCGCCTTGGGGTTCTTTTTTATTTCTATTCGTTTTCGTGTTTTTTTTTTTTCGTTTTGCTTTGCTTTATTTAATTCCATTTCACATTTTCCATTTGTAACAACTACAACAACATCGAGAGTAGTAATAATAACGTATTCGTATTCGTCCAAATGGCAATTGCGACAGCAGCAAAGCCAACAACAAAATTCCAGAAAACTCATGAAAACCATCCCCTTTTTTGATTGTGTGTGTGTGTGTGGGTTCATCCAAATGTGCCACTGTGAACAACAACAACGACAACAGCAATTCAAAAACTCAGCAAGTACGAATTGGAATCACAAAACACAATGGAAACGAACAACAAACGAAGAAACGTTAACGACCCCTCTTTAATAATACTCCGAGAAAGTGCCGCAGCAGCAGCAGCGTCAGTGGCTGCTGAAATTCGTTTTCACACACAGGCACACAGCTTTGCAAAATCAGAGAAATGAATATGCCAAAAACAAATATAACAATCGAAATGGAAACAAAAAAATGTTTTTTTTTACACACACACACATACAACTGTTGTAGTCCTGTGTGGAGACACGAACAACAGCAAAAACAACAATAGTATTCAAATTTAAGCACCACCACCATTGAGTTGCAGAGTAGCAACCATCCATCCCCACAATGGCAATAGTAATAAAAAAACAACAACAACAACCCAGCGAATGAGATAATATCCACAGGAGGTGGAGAGTAACAAAGCAATCATACATACATACGTACAAACAAACAAACAAATGAACAATGGGAATCAGCATTAATGCCGATTGTTCCAACTCCGATGACTGACTGCGGAGACGACTGCGTTTCTCTCTCTCTCTCTGGTTTCATTGTGGAGTGTGTCTCTGCTGCTCAGTAGCTCTCTTGCAATGTTGTATGGCATTACCGTTGGTTTTGTGTTGTAATTCATTTCATTTGCTATATTTGTCCTCCTGAGCACAAATGTCTGAATGTTGGTTGAGTATAGTCAGTCGGGTGTTGGTCGGATGGAGAGGGTGAACTGTGGGTGTGAGCATGCATATGTTTTGTGTGTGGTGTGTGTGTGTTTTTATTGTTGTTGCTGTTGCATACAAATGCCCAACCAATTTGAACAGTTGAATTTCTATTTTTTTATTTCTTTTTTGGTTTGTTTGCTGCTGCTGCCAGCCAACTCTCTTTCTCTTCACGGAGGAGCATCGACGGATGTGAGTGTGTGTGTGCGTACAAATGTGCGTTTTCTGCAGTTGTATGTGTCGTTGTTGCTGTTGTTGGTTTTTTTATTTCAAACAACATTGATATTCGTAGCAATGTTTCGTTTCTCATTACGAATTTGTCATTTGTAAGTGAAGGTACACACAATACAAATATTCCAGAAGGAGTCTCCTCAATTGCTCACTCACCATACCGTGTGTGTGTGTGCTCATAATCGTATTTACGGCTGTGTGATTGTGTGTGTTTGGTGGAGTCGTCGTCGTGCAGTTTAACGTTGAGCGACGGTGGTTTTCCCCATTTGAATTCAGTGTACGTCTAGGACCAAACGGTACGGTACAACGGATAAGCACCTTTGCAAATTTTGGAAAACAAACGGCAAAACGTTAACGAATTGAAATGTAAATGCCATAATAAAAAAATAATACATAAGAAATGGATAAAATATATAAAAAATAAAACTTAAAGAAAAAATTAAAAAAAAATTGAATTGAAATAAAAGTGGAAAAAATATTCTCTCCACTTTGCGCGCGCGTAAAACATTTCGTTACTCCAAAAAATTAAAAGAAAAACAACAATCAAATAAATACAAAAAATTCCAACAACAAAAAAGTCAAAAAGGAAAATGAAATATATATTTATATATAATTCCACATTGATGTGATATTTTTTTTTGTAAAAAGTGTCTTTGCTCAAACTCATTCGCTGGCTCGCTCAGCCCAAAAGGGTCGGTTCGTCGTTCTGCCACATCACAGTTGTAGTGTCGCCAGCAACAACAACGGCGACGCAGTCGACAGAACGAACGACACACGGATTTTTATTGGAGAGACATCATTTATTTGCCAGTGGAAATACATTTGAGTGTGTATGTGTGTGTGTGCGTACCCCTCCCTCTTTATTTCCTGCAGCAACATTATATTTCTTAAGTGACATTTGTATATGTATTTGTGAGGATTTCGACAATTGTTTGGCCACCGCCGCCGCCGTTTGCCAGCCATCCACCACCATCTTCATCATCCTCCTTACCATCATCCACAACAGCAACGTTTCTGTTTGGTTGATGTCGTTCGTTTCATTTGGTGGTGTATATCCATTTGATGTGCTCTGTGTGTGTTTGTTTTCGTTGTTTTTTTTATTTTTCTTCATTCATTTTCACATTTTGATGTTGTTTTTGCATCTCGTTTTGTTCGTTTCCATTTCCAATTACGTTTGGTTTTCGGTTACGATTGCTTAACGTTTTCCAGCAATAATCATACGTCGTGTGACACGCCGTCGGTTAACAACTGCTAACGGTTGAATACGAGACCCAAGCGAAATCGTAAAACGTGTATTTTAATTCTTTCATTTTTTTTGGTCAATAATGATAGGAATTACAGAACAATAACACACCACAAAAAAAAAAAAAAAAAAATTAAATAATTAAATGAAAGAAGAAGAGCATTTGCCAACAACAACAACAGCCGCAGCATCATCATCATCGGTTTACAAATACATTCTTGCAACAATCAATCGCAGCGGTTTGTGGCAACGGCAATGATCGGCTACGCGTTCGCGTCTTTTGTGGACAGTTTTAATTTCGAATTGCAATACAAAATTAATTAAATAAATAATACAAATAAATAAAAATAAAACAATTTTCTATTTTTTTAGAAATTCTTAAAACAAATATAAAAAAAAAGAAAAAAAAAACTTACAAATTAAAAATTGGAAGAAGGTGAATATTTGTAACAAAATATTAAACTAAATTACATTGCGTAATAATAAAAAATAATGAAATACAGTTGGTTTTTAAATATATATAAAAAAAATCATAATTGGTGTTCAATAAATGTATAAAATAATAAAAAAAAAAAACAAAATCGGTGAAATAAATTGAAAATAAACAGTGCTATGTTTGAGGATGTTTTCAAAATGAAATTATTTTAATGCTATGACTGGAGTTTTGTGAATAACCTAGTGGTTAATATAAATAGGTGTTCCAATGTAACTCATGCAATGTTAAGAGATCTCTTTAATAATTCCATTTTTTTGACCTTTTGTTTAAAAAAGTGAATGGCTATGGACTTGGGTATCAATTGTTTTCTATCAATTGAGTGCTAAAGTTTATTCGAATCTCTTTCACAAAATGTAATTCTAAAGATTTTTCCGAACTTTATACCTTTAGGAGGCTATGCTATTCAGTTGTGTCATCGTAATTAGTTTGTGCATCCAAATTAAGAGGTAGAAAAAATACAAAAGCCTTTTATTCGTTTTGCTTTCCCACATATGAACGTTATGAATCCTCGACCATCCTATGAGATTTATTGTGTCCATCTTGGTATGCTATCATTGGAAAATTGTCGTTAAATTCAAGATACCCTAAATTGTTATTCTGTATATTTTTAGATAAACGAAACTAACGTTTCATTCGTTGTTATTAAATTAGGGATATTTCTAAAAGAAATAAAATAGTGCATTTGTGCCAGTAGTCGGCACCACTTGTCTATTATCGGTATGACATGTCCCTATAACAAGAAAAAAATTAAATTTGAAAAAAAATTGTTTACCCTCCACAATTTGGAACGAATTTGGAAATTTTATATGGTCAACTTTATATAGTCTAACTGCATAGGTAATTTTTGTTATAGGCCATTACAATATTCAAATACAAAGAAAAAAAATCCGGCGAATAATGAGCTAAAATCGTCAAAATGTCAAACGGATGTCCCTAAATCGACATAGAATTTTATGATGATCAAGGGGTCTTAAATTTATATTTTGAGGTGTTAAAAATGGAATGACAAACTTAATATACCCTCCATACTATGGTGAAGGGTATAAAAATGCCGGTCTCAGGAGCACTTACCCTATATCATATTTTGATTTGCAATAATACCCACAGTATTTAATATTTACTCATTGGTGTGACATCGCATCACCTCCCTCCTGCTTAGGTTGTGAAATCGAGAATAGTTATAAATATAGAAACCGAGCCGAATTTCACAAAATTTTACAGAGGTATTTTTGGGGTGTATATAATTGTGTTATACAACCTGCAATATAGTACTATTTTTTTCACAGTGAAACAAAACGTGAAATGTGCGTGAGCTAAACAGCTCACCAGTGTTGCTAAAAATTACTACTTTACATTTTACTAGACACATTTTCTGATTTTATATGGGCAAAGCAGTAACCTCAGAGCACATTTAACAATTCTTCCTTTTACTAGTTCTACAATCAAAAATGGTACAATAGAAATGGAACTGATATTTTTCAAACATTGCGGACGTACTTCTAGGTTTAATTACAAGAAAAATCCAGCAGATTATGAAAGTTGAGCTAAAAATATCGGCGTTTTAAAAGGTTAGTTTATTCCGACATTTTTGGAAAATTTCAAATTAAGATTCCTTGGAATCCTTACATTTTAGGTATATAGAGGTTTCGTTAATATTTCTGGTAAAAATTCAAGAATTATTTTGATAACAAAATGTTTCACGCAAAAGAGGTACACAATAGGTTTTTTGTTCCTATTAAAAAAAAAAACTCTTCCCTTAAAGTAGAAAGTCAAAATATTAAGCAAAGTTATTAGTCAAACATTTCTATTATAGGTCCCAAACATTACCAAATACATCAAATGTCTAAATCTTATCTAAACGGCAGGAATGTTGTTGTGGTCCATTTTACAGCAATGGTCATACAAAATGCTAGACTTCTTCCCTGTCCATAATTCTCTTCTAAGGTGTGTCGATTGGCTTCAATTGTGTGATCAGGAAATTTTTTATTTTTTTTGCTTCATTTGAACCTCTAAATATTTTGCGACCATCTCCAAAAGCAAGAAGCCCCTCTGTATCTCTAAATTTAGACTCATCTATATGATTTGCTTGTCTACGATATTTGGCTATATTTGTCAATGAAACCAACTTAAAAAGCCAGAAGTTCACCTTTTGTGTATTTTGGATTTCGCCTGAAAATCAAGTGAAATTTCGCGTCCTTTGCTTTCTATTTGTGACCTTTATAACGGCTGCACAATTAGGAACATTTTTAGTTATTGGGGCATTTCAACCTCTAAATGTATTGCGGACATCTTTGAAAACAATAGGCCTAGCCCCTCTAACCCTAACCCGACCCTTGTGAAAATTTTCTTGAGGATCGGACGATAATTGCAATCTGTATATAAAAACACCCACCTGTGTTGTAAGGTGAAAAAATATTACAAAATGCACACTTAAATATTATAAATCAAATTGAAAAAATCGCATGCGATAAAAATATGAAAAAATAAAAAAAATCCCACAAAATACTACAAAAACTATATTAACATCATTATTGGCATCTTTCCATTTTCGTCAGGTTCGAAAATCGCAGGCAACTGAAATTTTTATACCCTACACCACAAGGTGGTCAGGGTATTATGTCTTTGTGCATTTGTTTGTAACAGTCAAAAGGAAACGAGATAGACCCATAGTTCCTTTTGATGATCTGCATAGAATCACATTCTGAGTCGATTTATGCATGTCCGTCCGTCCGTGTGTCCGTCCGTCCGTCCGTATGTCCATGTATTTTTGTAAACAAAGTACAGGTCGCATTTATTGCCCGATCCAGATGAAATTTTGCACAGATCATTTGTTTGGCCCAAGGACGAACCCTATTGGAGATAATCGGTCAAAATTTAGATATAGCTCCCATATATATTGTTCATCCGATTTGTTATTTTTGTCCACCGCTGCCGTAACAATATTTAGGGAAATATATCAAATACAGCTCAGAAATACATTTGCAAAATTTTATCGACATCGGTTCAGATTTGGATATAGCTCCCATATATAACTTCGGCCGATTTACCTTTTATTGTGCACCAAACGTCTAATATTTGTCCAAATGGGATGGAATTTGGCACATACGACCGAATTGAGTCTAGAAGCTAGTATGTCAAATTTAGTGAAGATCGGTTCAGATATAGCTATAGCCTCCATATATATTATTCATCCGATTTGTTATATTTGTTACCCACAACCGTAATATGCACTCCGTAACAACGATATTCAGGGAAATATATCAAATACAGCTCAGAAATATCTTTGCCAAATTTTATCGAGATCGGTTCAGATTTGGATGTAGCTCCCATATATATATTTATCCGATTTCAAATTAATTGTGCACCAAATGGTCAATACAAGTCCGAATTTAAAGGATACAAATGCTTCGGCATGTTTAGTCCTTTGAACTTTAAATTATAATTATAATCATAGCGTGTATGATTGAATTCTCCCATAAAAACTTTTAATTGTTATGTGGAGCTCAACTAAATTAGCAAAGTGGTGTAGGGTATCATAAAGTCGGCCCCGCCCGACTAAGACTTTCTTTACTGGTTAGCTTTGCTTTTTTGAGATATACATTTTCCGCGTTCTCGTATTATTTAATAAAATTTTAAATTTAAAAATCACTCACTTCGAAATACTATTTGGAAGTTATGAATGATGCCACTGTTTTCTACTCGTCCAAATTTGTTTGGCGTCGACCGCCCTTTTTGTTTATTTTGGCTTAAATTCGTATATACATTTTGAAAGGATTATTAGGGAAAAAAAATGAAAAACAATAAAATTTTCCAGTTTTTGAGACATACCTATTTGAATTTAAATGTTTAACTCTTTTTTTATTGATTCAATTAAAGCTCAGCCAACAATCGTACAAGATAAAATACTGCATATTTTATCAACATTTTTCAAAAATATGTTTTTGCAATATTACTTAAGTTTTGATCATTAAAAAGTCGATAGCGACAACTTCAAAAGCCTCATTTTTTCTAAAATTACCATTCCTACGGATTAAATTTAGCACAGGTTATACTTGATCAGTATCCTTTCTTTGTGTTTTTATTGAACATCAAATAAATATTTTCATTAACTTAACTCCGAAAACCAACTGTATTTTGCTTTAAAAAAATCTTAACAAAAAAATATCTAAATAAATATGTTATCTTCATTTTCCAGATTAAAAATGAACATATTCAGTGTACTGTGAGAAAATTAAAATATTCCACGGAAATTAAACTTAAAAATATCACCCAAAACACTTTTAAATTAAACCTCCCCCGCCCAAAAGACACTATGATGCTCGGAGACTAGTATGATTTCGAATTGTGTTGAGGAAAATCAAAGTGAAAAACAATTGCTATTGGAAAATCCAACGAAAATCATTGTTGTCGATCAAGCCTCGCCGAAGGCCTTGATTAAAGTGAAAAGTGAATTTCATTTAAATGCCATAACGCAAGAAATGAACAATAATAATAATAACAATAACAACAATAATAACAATAACATAACATTGCATAACAACAACAATCACTGTGACAAAAGTCCTTTACACGCCAAACTGAGTCCTTCATACCCATCAACCACGTATCTGCATCTTCATACGCATCAACAGCAGCAGCAGCAGCTACAACTACAACAACACCAACATCAAGCGAACATCATGAACTCGGCCACAATGCTGATGCATCATCAGCAGCAACAGCAACAACAACAACAGCAGCAACAACAAAATGGAGCACGTGACAGCAGCAGCAGTCGCGGTACCGAACGTGGCGATGATCGTACCAATGGCCGCTCCTCCCACACCGGTCGCGGTTCCAGCTGTTCCCCAGCCTCATCGCCCGCACGTCATGGTAATGCCGTTAGTCCGGTCACATCTCTCAATCACAGTATGATGCAACAAATGCAACAACAACAGCAACATCAGCTCTCACCACCACCCCATATGGGTGGTGTACCAACACCAAATGGCATGCCGGCCGGTTTACCGCCCCGCATGCCACATGGCCTGCCACCGCATTCATTGGGTCTCCTCAATTCACTGCAAATGATGCATCACGCCTCACCGTTGGAGCTAATGGCGGCCGCCCATCATCATGTACCGCCACGCACCTATAACAGTCCACCGCCCATTTCGACCTCCGATCCCAGTGCCAATGAATGTAAATTGGTTGAATATCGTGGACAAAAGGTGGCTGCCTTCATCATCAGCGGTGAGACAATGCTGTGTCTGCCGCAAGCTTTTGAATTGTTTTTGAAACATTTGGTCGGTGGCCTACATACGGTCTATACGAAACTGAAACGCCTCGATATTGTACCGTTGGTATGCAATGTGGAACAGGTGCGAATATTGCGCGGTTTGGGTGCCATACAACCGGGGGTGAATCGTTGCAAGTTGTTGTGTTGCAAGGACTTTGATATTTTGTATCGTGACTGTACGACAGCAAGGTAAGTGGTTTTTTTGGGGGGAAAGAGAAATTGTTGGTAATTTTTTTGGGGGAAGGTGGGGAGCGGATTTCGGGGGGAAATTTTGATGTTTCAATTAAACATCAATTTGGGGAATATTGCACAGGAACTGAAGTTAAACAAAGATAAAGAGAAAATGTTGAAAAATATGAGAGATTTGTGTGTTTTTTGAAACATTATTAGGATATATTCGAAATTAGCCATTAGAGTTTGTAAATAATATTCCTTAGGAAATAAAAAAACACAATCAAAGCTAAGGCAGTCCTTATAAAAAATTCTTGATAAAAACTTTGACAGCCCTTTCGGAAAATATAAAATTTTGAAGGTAGATAAATTGTCCCTCAAAACATTAAAAAAAATTATAAAAACATATAAATTAAGAAAAAAAATAATAATAATAAATAATAATAATAAATAATAATAAATGACAGATTTTTTCAGAAGCACTCTTTCATATCGAACAGTACTCTAGATCTAAACAGGGTGATATAAAAAACCCACGGCCACAATGTTTGCGTTCCCAAGGCTTTTATACACCCTCCAACATATTTTCGCGATAATATTCGGCATTTATTCTGATGCCACGGTCGATTAATATGAGCGGACAGCGATCATCGGCTTTTATGGCGGCCCACACCATCACCATGGCCGGCGCTTGAGTTCTGGTGGCCAACCGAAGGTGCACATTTTCAGCAGACCGCTTTGGCAAGTAAACATGATCATTTTGTGTGCTTACAAACACTTTCAATTTCAATTCAAGTCAAAATCTGCATTTAAACTTAATTTTTTTAGGAAAGTATCAAAGGAAGAACTATTCTGGATCAAATTTCATTGTGGGTGTGTCTAAACAAAAGAAGATTGTATATCGAATATGTAACATAAAAAAACTCATCAAATTTGAAATATTTGTAAAAACCCTCTTCCACTGGTACAATATATGCAGCCATTATCAACTTAGACCATCGTAAATCGCGCCTAAAAGTATACACCAGTCTTATATACTTATACCCAACACCACAAGGTGGTCAGGGTATTATGTCTTTGTGCATTTGTTTGTTACAGGCAAAAGGAAACGAGATAGACCCATAGTTCCTTTTGATGATCTGCATAGAATCACATTCTGAGGCGATTTATGCATGTCCGTCCGTCTGTCCATATATTTTTGTGAACAAAGTACAGTTCGCATTTATTACCCGATCCAGATGAAATTTTGCAAAAATCATATATTTGGCCCAAGGGCGAACCCTATTGAAATTGGAGATAATCGGTAAAAATTTAGATATAGCTCCCATATATATCTTCGACCGATTTGCCTTTTATTGTGCACCAAACGTGTAATATCAGCCCGATTAGTATGGAACTTTGCACATACCACCAAATTAGGCCTGAAAATAAGTATGCCAAATTTGATCGAAATCAGTTCAGATATAGCTATAGCTCCCATATATATGTATATTGTTCATCCGATTTGTTATTTTAGTCCTCCGCAGCCGTTATATGCACTCTGTATCAATAATATTTGGAGAAATATATCACATACAGCTCAGAAATACATTTGCTAAATTTTATCGAGATCGGTTCGGATTTGGTTATAGCTCCCATATATAACTTCGTCCGATTTACCTTTAATTGTGTACCAAACGTCTAATATTTTTCTCAATGGGATGGAATTTGGCACTTACGACCGAATTGAGTCTAGAAGCTAGTGTGTCAAATTTGGCGAAGATCGTTTCAGATATAGCTATAGCTTCCAAATATATTGTTCATCCGATTTGTTATATTTGTTATCCACAGCCGTAATATGCACTCCGTAACAACGTTATTCAGGGAAATATATGAAATATAGCTAAGAAATATCTTTGTCGGGCCCCGCCCGACTTTAAGACTTTCTTTATTGGTTTCCATGTAAGTTACTTATCAAGCTACAATTATTAAATGTTGGAATAATTGTTTTTTTCGAAATGTTTTATTTCAAATTTATGGAATTAAAGCCATTTTCTGTTTTTACAATTGAAAATCAAACCTAAAAGTATGCACCATTCTTATATTATTTTGAATGGGTTACATATTGTACGAAAAATATTACTGGCTTTGACTTTACTATAGAACATAATTAATTAATTTTTTTTACTTATTTCATGGTTAAATTATAGACTAATCTCAAGATGTATGACAGTGAAACAAAACACGAAACGTGCGCGAGCGATTGAAACCAGTATTTTCAAAATCAAAATATCTAAGAAATCGTCCTTAACCTAAAATAAAGTGCAATAATAATTCTTAAAGGATTCACGCTCATAGCTCGTATTATAAATTATTATCCCATAATAAAGCTTCTATAGTCCTTGACAAAAAAATGACTATTTTTGTCTGCTTTTTAGTTTTTTTCACCCAAAATGAAAATCCGCCAAAAATGCATCTCTATTTTATTGCCTTTTCATAAATTTTGCTGTTGATGGTTACTGTGAATATTATTTGGTGAACTGGTTTGAATAATTGCCTAGCTGTGTAATACAATAAGCAACAACAACAAACACTACCAACAACAAAAATATAAAACAAGGAATTCGTTTTCACAAAAAACCCTAACTCGGGCTCTCTCTGGTTATTGGCCTTTTTTCAGACTTCTTCAACAACAAGTCTTAATAAAAAAATGAGAAGAGGATTTTCCACATACATATGTACACATATATGTATGTTTGGTATGTATGAAGGATGATGTGAATAAAAGGGTTACTCTAAGTGGCATTTATAGTAGTGGCTGTTGTAGTAGTCGCTGTTGCTGTTTTGGCTAATGTTGTGGATAACCAAGTTTAAGTGGTTTTTCTGTATGAGACTACCAAACAACCAGTCCGTCAGCCCGGCCGGCTAGCCATCCAACCAGCCAGCCAGCCACTTTAAAAATTTACCAAGACCATTTGCTCTGTAGTTGGGGTAAAGAGAAAAGAGTGTGTTATCCATATGTAAGTCGTCCTCCAAAGACTTTAGTTTATTTGTCTGTCGTTTTTTTTTTTTTTTTTGGCTAGAGACGATTATGTTTTGTTTAGCTCCAGTTGGGTTTCTAGACTCTTTTAGAGTGAAAGGGCCATTCATAATGCATCCATATACACAAGAGTACATATGTATATTTATATTTGGTTATTAGCAGATATTTAATGAGCCATATTATTTACATGTTTATTTGAGGGGCACTAGTGTTGGTGTGTGTGTGAGTATCTTGCTAAATGAGTGCCATACCCTTTTAAATTAAAAGTTTTTAATTATTTAATAATTAAATTTTTGTTGGAAACTGTTTCAAGAAGAAAATATTAAATTTTGAATTTAAGTGCCAAAATTATTTCAAGGATTTGGGGAAAAAGGTTTTCAATGGGAATTGAAATTCAAGAGAAGTTATTTAAAATAAAAATTCGTGTTCAGATTTCCAACCAAATTAGATGAATTTCCAACCAAATTAGATGAAACTTTACACATGGGATTCTCTTCCTTAGAAATACCTCTGTCAAATTTAATCGGGGTTTGGTACATATGACCGAATTAAGCCTAGAAGCATATACTTCTAATTTTCGGTCGATATCTCCCATATTTATGTTTCATCCGATTTGGTGTTGAAGTCCCTCACATTCGTAATATGCACGCCACAAGCATCATATTTGGTACCAGATATCAGATGTAGGCCTGAAATACATCTGCCAAATTTTATGGAGATCAGTTTAGATTTAGATATAGCCCCAATATATTTTTCCTTCATAAGGCTTGTTGTGCACCAAATGGATAATATAAGTGGATTTTAGGCACAAGCGACCGATTTTTTGTTCGATATATATTTTTATACCCTCCACCACAGTATGGAGGATATATTTGTTATTCCGTTTGTAATAACTCCTGATATAAATTTTAGACCCCACAAAGTACGTCAGTGGAAATCGTTCTAGCTTCCGAACGAAAAAAAGTAGATTGATAAAATTTTACTCAAATGTGTGTTCGGTCTGCAGAACTTGAAAATGGTTAAATATCTATACCACGTGTTGGTATAGCCACTATAAAACTGTACCAAAAATTTGAGATTTTTGTGGGTGTTGTTGTTACAAATATAAGCCGTATTTGTGCCTTCCTATATTCGTTTTTTTTTTTTTTTTTTTTTTTTGAGAATTTTAGTGACGTTATTCACCGAAATTGTTTCAAGTTTCGTATTTGAAGTTTTTAATAGGTACTTCAATCTATAACAGAAAATTGTTTATGCAGGTCCAAGTCTCCGAATAGCCCCCATATATAGTACCTCCCTATATTCGGTATTTTTTTTTATTATTTCAGCGATATTGTTTCCAATTTCGTATTTGAAGTTCCTAATGAGTACTACAGTCTATGACAAAAAAATGTCTATGCATGTCCAGGACTTCGTATAGCCCCAATCGGTACCTCCCTATATTCGGTATTTTGAGGATTTTACCGACCTTTTACACCAGAATTGTTTCAAGTTTCGTGTTTGAATATCATAATGGCCTATGACTAAAATTGCATATACATGTCCAAATTTGCGTATAGGCCACAATATAACGGTGACTTCCCTCATTCGATATTTTTATGATTTTATCAGTATTTTTTTTTTTTGTTCAACGGAATTTCTTTAAATATTTGCAAATTTCAAAGAGGATATTCAAAGTTTGTCCCAGCCGAACGTACAGCTTTTTATTTATTTAATATAATAACTCTGGTCTTAACATGCACAACATGGCAATATTATTTGGATCGAGAGGAACAAATGTCTCCGTCAAATTTGGTGGAAATCGATTTAGGGTTGGAAATACCTCCCACATATTAGTACTCTCTGAAACCAAATTATAACTGCACTAAAGACATATATTCCCAATATTAAACTTTATTTGTTACGGATAGCTCTACTAAATATCTGTAGTGGTATAGGGTATCATATAGTCAGCCCGCCTGACTTTTGGGCATTTTTTACTATCATTCTTTTTGATATT